CCGGAAGGTATGAAAAGGCTAAGAGGGCGGAGCAAGCGGAATATCGAGGCCGCAGCAACCAGAATAGGTTTTTGGGGCAGGTGTCAGCAGCACTTCTATAGAACAGGTGGTATTGCCAAATGCTCAAAATTACTAAAGCAGCGAAGGTTTGGTCAGTCTCCAGTCATACAGGTTTTACAAGAAGGTTTACGCCGTTTAGGATTCAAAGTTCGGGAGCTCCCGGTGACAACCGTCCTCTTTCCACGCTTGGAAAAGGCAATGGCGCATTTGCGGAGGGAGGTGCAAGCAACAGAATGAATAACCTTGCCAGGTACCGTACACTCGTGCTGAAGCTCTCATGGCTATGTCTCTCGGACGGTCTCTACACACCAAATCCAAAAGAAAGCGATTCTCTGGGGATTCCGTGGCCTGCACCGTGCCCGAACCTGTTTAGGACGACGAAGCACCGAGAACAGATGCCTTGGAATGCGTGCAAGCTTAGAGCTTGGGGTTTAGGGTTTTGGGGTTCTGGCATTAGGGTTTAACACGGTTTAAGGTTTAGGGTCTGGGGCTTCGGCATATACGGTTTAGGGTTTAAGGTTTAGGGCATTCTCCTGGCGGCGTTTGTGCAAGCTTTGTATCATGTTGTAGTTTTAGTGGTGGGCAACTACTAGCCAACAGCAACAAGTCATAAGCTGCAACAACCCGGAGGATCCAAGAACCTACTGCTTCTTTGGGGGATATACCCTAAACTAAAGGGGACATAACTTAGCATGTTGTAGTACAATCGTAGGGTTTGGGGGCACAAAAAAGATTACTTGCACACTGCAACATGAACTGGCTGACAAAAACCACGACGGAGTAGTTGCGGCATGAGCTCACAGTGGCAACGCGATCGAACACTTGCGACGTCCACGATCATGCTGTGCAAACAGCGATAGTCAGGGTTCGATGCTCAGCCTTCAGCCCTGCCCTAAACAATAGTAGGTTTTTGGATCCCCAAGTGAACCCTAACCCCATGAAACCCTAACCCCCGAAGTTGCCCAACCCGTACAAGCTTAGCCTTCCGCTTGAAGTTCCTTTTTGGTGGTGAGGGTGTCGGGTTTAGGGTTTAGGATTGTGACGAACCCAAGAATTCGTTCGGTTTCACGATATTCTTGTCATGCCCAAACCATACAGCCCAATGCCTGCACCCTTTTTAAAGCAAGAGGGCCTTATTTTGTTTGTTTAGATTGGGGCTGTGCCAGACTGATGAGAAAACACTGCTAGCAGAACATGTACATCGAGTAAGCCGAGTCTGAACTAACATGAGGTATCCATGGGCTTTTGGTGTTTGATGCTTCTTTATGTTAGAGGAACCGAAAATGGGCATTCGAGCACCGTACACACAAAACTGTCCAAAACGGCACAACCTCAAATCAAAAGCCCCCAAATCCTTACGGATGAACACAAGCCCGAATTTGTTGCCCTAAATTCGAAGCTTAATCCTGATGTTGAGCCATGGTTGATCAACCGGTTTATCCATCAGGGGTCCATAGTAGAAACCAGAAAATTTGGAACATGATTATCTGATTCCCCTGATGCCCTTGATTGGTCTAAAATCTAACGAAACCTTCCAACGACCCATGGCCAAATATTCGTGGCCCGTGGTGTCGTTCAAGGGTGGGGCGGGGATTGGCGTGAAGTCACGGCTAAACCTTTCCCTTCAGGTTCCGGTTAGGCTCTGTTAAGGGTTCCATTTAGGTTTCCGCTTCGGGTTACGTTCAGGTTTCCACTTAGGGTTACGTTCAGGTTTCCGTGTAGGGTTCCGTTTAAGGTTTCTTTCCGGGCTCTGGTAGTCCGAACCCAAACTAGTCGTCCGACCCTTCAAATAATACTGCGAATACGCAAATAATAGCCCGAACACTAGAATAGTGATCCGAACTAGAATAGAAAAGTCGTTGTTGAATAGAAGTTTTTGACCCGACCTATATGGTTTCATGAATATTTCTTAATGTTATGGGATTCTCCGGGTATGGGTGGGTGTTATCTCAAAACCCTAAATACAAATTTTGCGATGATAGTGCTCGATCCGGGGCCGCTGGGCCCTCAGCCCCACACCCTAAACCGTTCTCTTGTCGCAAAGCCGTTTGACTTGTGGCATTTTTTGGAGGTCGACAAACCCCATTCATTTCTGTTATGTACTACGTATTTCCTGAATCCCTTGCATATCTTGTGCGGAAGCTTGGTCAAGATTGCTTTGGCCTCATGCGTCACCTGGTTCTCGTGCTGGATGTGGTCGTAGTTGGCAGCGTTGGGCAGACCAATTAATTGGGATCCGTGTGGGCCAAGCCACTTCATGCTCTTGCACTGATGGCTTGAGTGATGCAAACATGTGTCTTTCGTTTCGGCCAGAGACATGTCCCAATGTGGACAAGAGCCTAAGCCAGGAAAGTCGTCGAGCTGCAAAGCCAGGGCCGCGGTCAGGGAGACCCTGAAACTCATCCCAAGCTTTCCTCTTGGAGTTCCTTCACACATTGCTCCGCAGCTTTCTGCAGGCTGTCGTGTTTTTTGAAAACTTTTTCTTCTCTAGTAGAACTGCGACCATATTATTAATCTGGAGAAACCCGACCGCTTTAAGTGCGAGTGCCGGCTGGATGGAGTGAGCACTGCACAGTGCCTTGCACTCTTCCAGCAACTTCTCGCGCTTTCCGGACGCACTCGTGGACAGTGCGTTCTTCACGTCGGAAACGGTCAGGGCGCGGCCATCCTCCACGCCGTAGGCGAAGTGCAACAGCATGTGCCGGATTGGAGCTCCGGGGTCACGGCCCTTGACCTCCATGTTCAGCGCCTCGTAGATTTCAGGACCGAGCAAGCAGCTGTTAAAGCCGTGCGCTCTCACAAACTTCTCAGTCTCCTGAAGGATGTGAACCCTCTGGCCGCCGCTGTAGCATATGGTGAAGACAAACAGTGACGGGACAGTCCCGCCACTCCGCGGCTTGGATCTCAGCACTGCATCCTTAATGTCCCGTAAGTCACATTGGTCTTGCCATGCAGTGCCGTCTGCCGTGACACTTCCGTGTGGATCTTGCGGCAGAGCTGCAACTCTGACTCCTCTCTGGCCACGTGACCACTGGCGTTTGCCGCCGACTGTGCGAGGTGACAAAAGTTTGGAAAGCGTTGCGGGCCTGCCTGCGATACAATCCTCCATGTCGCACCATCGACGCAAGCTTGATCGATAGAAGTCTGCATCGGCCACTTGCAGGCTTCCAAGGCTGAGACGTCCCCCCTGATCTGCGACGTGCGCAACGTCACTCGGTGTCTTGGCAGGAAGCACCTCAGAACCTGATTTGTATGGCTTCCTGCCAGTGTTGCGTACTTGAGATGCGTTTCGGAAGGAAACGGCGGCACCCGACACTCGGAGTTCTCCGCCAATTCCTGATTCCAACGGAAGACCTTGGCCCGCTCCGCGTCGGACACTTCAACGCAGAGCCCTCGGAACTCCACACCGCTCCAGCCCAAACCCACTATTTCCCAAAGCAGCTCATGGACGTGCTTGGCGGACACGCCGCAACCGTCGTGGTTGCTTGGATGCACGCCGATGAAGTTTGAGCTCACCTTCTACTGGTAGAGGAGACCATGTTCCGCCAAGATGCTGTAGCATGCCTCCATGGCTTGCTCAAGGTAATAGTAAAAACAGTAACTACATTCACCCAGGGTCGTTCATGTCAAACACCATGCAGCACTAAAGCCGTGAAGACCTTCAACTTTCTCCCACAATGCCTTGCCAGCTGCTCGGGTGAGGCCTGGTAGCCAAGCTCAGAGCAGATGGCCCCAGCTTGCCCAGCTTCCACCCTAAGTCCGCCAAGCTCGTCGTCAGGTGTGGAGAGGGTGCACCTCACAGTTCTTTCTGCTGCAGACACTTGTTTGTTGATGGTGGAGCGGCAGTGCTGGAAGCTGCTGAAACGACACTAGCCTTTGAGTGTCCTGCAAGCTTTGTGCAGGCATTGGTAAGCAATCAGATATCCAAGAGGATGGGCATAGACAACCCCAGCAAGGACAGCATCTCCGATTGTAGCACGAAGCCACTGGCCCCCATTGTGACCCATATACACTGTGGAATTATTGCACGGTTACAGAGCAGCCAGAAACACTTTGCAAGGAATCTTCGCCATCATCATTGACTCCCAAAACAGGCATGGAGCAGTTAGCTGCAGTTCCTGCTTTGCCAGTGCATTGCAGGTTTTCACATTGCCAGAAACAGTCATGTGCAGCCAGGGGGAGCAGAACAAAATACATCAACAGGATGTGCAGCCAAATGGATGAAGCTTCCTCGCTCAGGTTAACTTTTGGGGGCTGCAGTTCCCCTGCTTTGTGGAGTCAATGTAGGGCACATCATCACCAATGGGCACTCTCTCACAAATCTCTTTCAGGACCATGTCCACATCCACGAGGCCAGTGCCATAACTGTTGATAACAAGCTCCCAAGCTTGACCATAGAGCTGCTGCTCGTCGGCAGCAGACTCCACTTCAAAATCAAGGCGCTCATCCTCAGAACAGGATCCCCGAGGGCTTCTGTATCTTGATCTGGCTGTTGCAGAGTCCATGGTTACAAGAATGCTTCCGGAAAACTGCTTGGTTGAGCAAAAACCGCTGCAGCTCTGCGCAATCGACTAGTCTAGTTGTCTCTGCACGGCAGCTGGTTTTCATGGTCTGCTTAGGCCTTTCTCACCCGTTGATAGCTTCCCTAGCCTGCCTCTGCACAGCTGCGTGCAGACCATGTCAGCACTGCAAATGAGGCACCGTCAAAACCCCGTTCTGGCGCTATTATCCTATAACTGAATCGATGTGTGTAGTTGCGGCCGCCTATAAAAAGATGAGCCGCATATACATATAGATACACATATACATAAACATGAACATATACAAGTACATCTAATAATAGATAATACGTATACACATGCTCAATCTTCGCAGAGGGCTGAAATGCAGTGTAAGGCTGTATGCCTGAATCTGGCATGTTGGGCCTTCACTGCATCTTTTCACTCGCCGCTGCTGTCGCTGCTGCTGTCACTGCTGCTGGTGCTGGACCCACTGGCGCTTTCAGCAGACCCAGCAGTCTCGACCCCGTCGCGCAGTTTGCGCAAGTGCTCCACACGCGCATGCAGACGCTTTCTGGCCCTTTCTCGCCGCCTGTCCTGCTTCTGCAGCTTCTCATCGAAGGTGGGTTCTGGGAGCAAGGCTCTCGGTGGCGGAACCCCCTTCTGCTGCTCAAAGACCCTCTTCAAATGATGATCTTTGTGAGGATCAGGCGGGGCCTGCAGCCACTCTGCAGCACCCTCGAAGAAGGCCTTCCGCCAAGGCACAGGTGCATCTNNACACGCCAGTCTGAAACACGGCTGCGGTTGCCAGCATCCGCGAAGACCCTGTTCCACAGCGCTGGCTGTACCCTGGCCTGGCCTTGGTAGGGCTCTGCTTCCAAAGCGTATGTGCGCGATATCTTCAAGGAGTCGGCATACAAGAAATGTCGCAAGGTGGCTTTGTTCGTGGGATACTCGATCTTACGAACAATGTAGCGCGGGCCGTCGGGATACTTCTTCATCTGTCGATCTGCACCTTGTTGTAGGGCCTTGCACATGTCGTCAATGGAATAGATTGGGCCCTCTCGAGCGAATTGCCCGATCCATCCGTGCTTGTGCGTCCCCGCCAGCCCAAACTGCTGATCCAGAACGCCCTTGCCGTGCTGCTCTCCGAGCCACCGGATGAACACATTTTGGTTTCTTTCTTTCGGAAGAACCCGGGCGTAAAAGTAAAGGTTCTCAGCTGACCTAAAGTGTGGTCCTGTGTCGGACCAAAGATGAAGATTGCCTGTGACAGGGACACTGGCCTCACGAAGTGCTTCACGAAGCATGATGTTGCTTGACTCCGCTGACTGCTCGATGACTTCCGTGACATAGAAGATGATTGTTGTCTGAAGCCTCGGTGCTGCGGGCGTAGAGGAGCTGTGGTGGCGCACGACAGCGCCACCCCAACAAGACAAACTGACCTTTTGCTGGCAGTGCCACATGGCTCCTGTCTCCTCCGGCGCATGCGGAAGTTTGAGCTTCTCGCGCCAGTCAAATGTGACCAGCGTATCCAGCATCGGCAGCTTGGAGTGCTCTGGGTCCATCAGCTCTCGCAGGGCTTCACCCTGGCGTCTGCCGGACATCATGTGCCACTGGTACGCCCGCAACATGCTTCTGTGTGCTTTGAGTTCATGTTCTAGCGGTGCCTCCTTCTCGGAGTACAAGATGACCTGCTCGCGTCCGCTTAGCTCGCTCTCACGCTGCTCTCGAAACTTGCTGTGATGGCGATGCAAGTACTTGTAGAGCCCGTCCGCCACTTGCGCCCAATCGCCCGCACGCTGTTTTGCAACATGCGTCTCATCATCATCCCAGGCCGCGAAGTAGCTGGGCATCACAGCCTCGATTTCCTTACATATGCTTGGCACTGGAAGTTTTGTCCTACGGTGCATCGTTTTGCATAAAGGTTTTCT